CCACATTCAAAGAAGGATTAAAAAACAAAACCTTCAACATTTCACACGTTATCTCATACTAATTGAAGGTGGTCAGCAATTCAAGCTCTAAATCCTAGTTAGAGGGCACCAGCATGTATCAAAGAATACATTCACACATATATATGTAGTCACATCTACAGTTTTACAGGCACAGGACTAGTGCCCTGAGACTGTGCTTATATCAATCATCATTTTAATTGTGCTTAAGTGAGATATCATTTTAATTGCCTAGTCACAGAGAGTATATTGTACAATTATGATGCACATTGTACTTGAACCACAAAATTTTCCAAATGTGAATTCTATTTATCCTTCCCCGACACCCAAAGATGCATATCTTATATGTTAATATAATCTGTGTGATAAAAAGATTTGCTGTTCTCATGTCTCAATTCTCCTAGATGTCCTTGACACTATCTTGTACAAAGAAAGCATGAATAACTTAGTTTTAATATATTTGTTTGTCTCACTTATGTCTGATTGAAGCAATTGAGAAAAATTACATTCATAAATCTTCTTGCCAAGATAATTAATTATGCACAAAATACTCCAAGCTGCTCCTGATTTTCATTAACGAAGCAGATTATCTGTAAAATAAGATGCTGCTAGAGCTGAAAAGAAAGGGCAGCCGCTCATCTTTCAATGCAAAACAAGCGCATATTTTTACAACTGAAAAACAATGATAAAGAAAGAACATCCTGTGATTATGTGTACCAGACTATCATATGCCAATTAAAGTAGAAAGATCTGTGGCTTTCACTTAATTTTTTCTGCAGTTGATATAAGTCGTAAATTGCTGTCATGCTAGTCATTTAATTTCCTTTCCAAAAGAAAATTAGCTGGCCTTTTCAAAAGCATTAGGCCATAAGCACTCACAAACTAGAAGCTCTAAACATATTTTTCTCAAATGGCCCTTATGAGATTTGATGCATCACATATTCAGACATCCACATTATTATTCATCAGTAATCTTTGTTCTAATTCCCTCCCTTAATTTCCACTTTTTCTTAAGTAGTTAAAATGATTGACAGCTAATGTTTTATTAAAATGAAGTTTGACAGTGCCTATCCTCCTTTAAAACAGGTACAGAACTGACAAAAAGTTTTTGCCTTCCAATGAAGTATGGCTCCAAATATTCAAGGCTTATTAGGTAGAACATCCAGGGACACCATGCCATAGAACATAAAGTACTAAAAGACTCACGTTTGTCCCTGGTGCTGCTGCATCAGCAATAGAGGTATAAAATAGAATGTCCAAAGAGACTTAAAAATTCAGGTAAGAGGAGTTTGTTTATATCTACTACATTTAAAAATACTTTCTTATGCACATAATTATCAATGCTGTAAATATTAATTACTATTTATAACATTGAGAAACCGGAGAACCTCTACTTCCCTGTCGATAATATATTATTTAATTTGGGTTATACTCTATTCAAATAACAGAATAGTATATAACCATTAAAATTACTAATGTTTTGACACAAGAGTATGTCGATGATTTGTTCAGTTCAGGCCAGGTTACAATGCAATATGTAGAGGTGGACTCCATTTACTTTTGTTAATTTGTTTCTTTAATAAATGTGTGTGCACTTGTGTAATAAATGTGTTCACACCCTCGCTTGCAGAAGAGCCTAAAAAGCGACAGTGTGCCAAAATGCCATCAGCAATCACCAGCATGGACAGCAACCTCACATTTCTAACAAATGATCATTACTAACTCACAAGCAGGAAAAAAATTGTGTCTTTTTTTGCTAGTTTTAAGTCATTAATCAAGTGCCAATTGAGCAACTGTGGCTGTTAATATTTGTTTTTTTGGGGGGGGGGTTGGTCTTTTTTCCGGTACCTGGAATCGAACTCATGACCTTGCACTTGCCAGTTAGGTGCTGTGCCGCTGAGCTAAATCCCCTGTGGCTGTTAATATTATGAAAGTGACTTTTATTTGATCATGCCCTGTGACCTCAAATAATGAAATTGGCCTTCAATTTAAGAGCAAGCTCTGCTGGAGCATGTGGCAGAGGCAGTAGGAAAGGGAGAGTGTGTAATGTGTCGGGTCTTCACTGTCCTTTTAGATAAGATGAAAAACGCTGATACATAGCCGTTTCTTTTTCTTTTTCTTTTCTTTCTTTTTCTTTTTTTGTTATCTTGCCAAAGACATCCTGGGCACTTGACATATAATTTATTTGATCACCCTAATAATACTTAAAGGTAGGTACTACTGTAATACACATTGTCAGAGGAAACAACCTCAGAGAATTTAAATAATTACTCAGTTCATTGTTAAGTGGTGGAGAAAAGAGTTAAATGCAGCCAAGAGTCCGGCCCCAGGATCTGTGCTCCACAAGCACAAAAAGACAGTTGTAACTATTAATTATTCCAGTGCTCACACGGCTGTTGTGAAAATGTAACATGGGTGTCTAAAGAGCCTAGACAGTATGTGTAAGAAAATTACTATCTTATTTATTGAAAGTTCATATTAGCAATAGTATTAATTCTTATTGTTATAATTGGTTTTAGTTGGAGGAATGTTAGTAAAGGAGTCATGTATGATGTCATTAATGCTAAGCCCAGGGAAAGGCTCTGGGCTAGGTGAGAGAGAAGCTGCAAGGTTTAACAAGGGAGAGGGATTGCAAGGAAGCCAATATAGGTATTGTCCTGTATGATGGACACTTGTTATTTCATTTATAACTGTTCTAAAAGATAAAGTCAATGTTTAAAAAATACTCTACTGTAAAAAAGAGAAGAAGAAAAATGAGTCCTTTTAAGTTAGAGAACCCATCAACTCAGAAACTTCCTATAGTAGCTTACTTTATTTTTATTAAAAAACTTTTTCAGGTTTCCAGACTTGGCAAGATATCTAGATTTTCCTTAAACATGTAACTAGGTTACATTTGGAATCTCTTGCATGTTCGTGTGTTTTCCTTTTCTTTTTCACTATGGAGGATTTGAGGGGATGGTTATTGCCAGTCATGGAACAGGGGGGCAAAACTGCTATCTTAAAAATAAATAAAATGGACTACACAGTCTTTCTCATTCTTGAGGATTAAAAGTAATACTCTCTGTATTATAAACTAAAAGAAGTTTTTAGTGTATTCACGGAAGCACTAGAGGCAGAGGTTTGGGCTTGTGAACTCAAGAACAAAAAGAGCCAGGGAAGTTTCTGTAAGGGAACAGGAGCTCTGGGAACATGATGGCAGCTCAATTAGAGGGAAGTGGGGGAGAGAAACAGAGAGAACAGAGTGAGCGATATCAGACCCGCTTATTACGTGAAGGACAAAGAACTTCACAAACAGTTGTCTGAACAATCTTATGTTGGTTCTTATCCTGTGCGCTCATTCCATCTGTTCTGTCACAGTCATCTGTAACTGATTACGGCAGATGACAGTACGTCAAGTCATGAGCATGTACAGTGGGTGACCATAGAGACCAAACTGTGAGGAAGAAGAGTTGGAAGGTGAAGCCTCTCAGAAGCAGGTCAGGAGCTTCTATAGTCAAGCAAAGGTGAAGAAAGCAGAGGTAGCTTAGGAAGTGTCTGCTGACTTGGAGGGGAGGCAATGAAATGGCTGGTGGTGTCTGCATTTGGACGTCTGCTCTGTGCTAACTCCTGGGAGCAGCTTATCTGATTAATAGTAGAGCAACACATATCAAAATTCATTGTCCTGTTTGATTTTTAGTAGCACGTATCAGTGTTCATTTGTTTATTTTATAACTTTGTCATCACACTATGGCAGCAATTCTCAACTGAAGTTAACTGTGCTTCCCAGGGAACACTAGGCAATGTCTAGAGACATTTTGGGGCCATACCTAAAGTATGTTCTGCTAGCAGCTAGTTGGTAGAGGCCAGTGATGCTGTTCTACACCTGAGAGGTGTGGAACCTGCAGCCTCCCACAGCCAGGAATTACCTAGCAGCAAGGGTCAGCAATGCCAAGGTTGAGAAATATACAAAATTCATAGAAGAGAAGGACTTTGCCTTGTTCCTAATGTACCTCCAGCACTTATAATAAGACCTGGCACACAGCGGATACTCAATCATTATTAGCAGAAATGTTAAGCATGTAAGACCTCATTTTTGGCATCTTGAAATAAGAAAAAGCTTCACTTCACCTCCTGTTTGCTTCTGGCTGTATATCTCTGTCTCTCCAATTTGTATCAGAGAAATATAAAATGTGGAACAATCTCTTTCCTGTGTATCCAGACCAAAAGATCTCTCTCCGTGTCATTTCTCTCAAAAGATTCCTCCCACTTAATCTGTTCAGACTTGAGCATGGGGTTGGGGTAATGGAAATGTTATAATAAATATGTCACCTATTTGAGATGGGGTTTGCAAAGAGAATTCTGTCCGCCCTGACCCTCAGATGCTTGGATGGAAGGAACACCTGGCAAGCATACTGACGACTTAGAAGAGCTGAGTCTTGCTCAGTTAGTGAGTCCTACCGTTCCTGCACACTCATTAGTCCCTAAGGCCTTCTAACCCCTGAGCATTCAGCCAATCAGCCAACATCATATTTCTTCCCTGGCACAAAATCACTCTTCTAAGAACGCTGCTTCTACTTTGCGCTTACTGAATTTTAAAACGATACTAGCAGCAGTCTAGCACAATTCAGCACCCTCATGTATCCGACTTTCCAAAAATCTACAAGTAACATTTCAGAATTGCAAACAATTGTTTCTAAAAATAGTGACCTATAAGAAAGTGAAAAGGAAAATCCAAGAATAAAACACAGCTACTTTCAAAACCTTTCACAGGTGTTCTCCCATTCCAAAAATCAATAGTACAATGAAAGAAAATAAAAATATTTGATTTTGTATCTGTACTTGGGGAAACAAGATGGCATTTGAAGGAGAGACTTTTGGACCAAAGATTAAAGGATATGACCATGCTGAATGAGACCTTGTCCCATACAGATCAAGGCATAGTTGATCCATATACTGACCAATTAGCAGAGGCTAAGCTACCATAACATGCCCATTTAGGTTACCTGGTCTTCTTGTTGGTCCCACATACACATCTGCAGAACCTGACCCAGTTCTTGCCGTTGTTGCTGCAAGTGCTTGTCCAGTTGCCTTCTCCTGTCTTGTAGAAGTTCAAGAAGGCTGTCAATCTTCAGACAACTGCTCTGAGCTCCCTGAATCAACTCGGAATTCATATAAGAGCCATCACACTTGAATTTTTCTATGAAGTCAGTGAGTTGTTGACTTTTGTTTAAAAGGGCTAGAGATCGTTCTAGGAGTTCTGGAAGAAAATTAGAATAATGAGATGAGAAAACTTTAATACAGCATTATTTAGAACTTTCATATAATTTAATATATGTATGTGTATATAATTTACTCAAGGGATGATCAAAATATATGGTATGTGTTCAAGTTTTTTTAATATGTACAGTAAAAGACACATTGCTACTAATCCCCAACAAAATACTCTCCTTTGTTTCTAAGACAATTATTCCATTGTTCTTGACACTTTCTAAAGTGGTCCTGGAACAGTCTTTTGAGTCTTCATAATAAAAAATATGGTGAATGCTGCTACCGAGTACCATCCAGTGGAAACACAGGATGGTAAAAACATTACAGTGTGTCCTCATCTACCTTATTCACCAGATCTGGCATCATGTAATTTTGGGCTCTTCCTTAAAGTCCAAATGAACATGAAAAGTCGATAGCTTGAATCGATTCAGGACATCCAGGGAACCACAACAGTGCAACTAAGAACACTAGAGAAAGAAGACTTCCAGAACTGCATCAGAAAGTGGCAAAAACAATGAGATGAACATTTTTGAGATGAGGGGGAGTATTTTAAGAGCATTAACAGCAATGTTTCTTTTACTGTAATGAACTTTTTAAAATTTTAAATATTCACTATATTCCTTGAATATACCTTGTGCATTAATTTCTGGGCAAACATTTTGGGCTAAAATTGCCATAGTACCAACTGCCAGGTGCTGGTAATTAAAATTCTGCAATAGCATGATTCAGTGTAGGGAGTAGAATGACTGGGGCTTGGGCCTGCTTCACCCAGTCTTTAGTGTTATGAGTCTGGTTGCGGCACCTACTGTCCCTGGAGTATTCTACATCCTGAGGTGATGGGGCTAAACATGGGGTTTAAAGAGTAATACCTGCCATGGCCGAACAAAGCCTCACTGAACATGGTGGCCAGGTGCCTAGAGGTCAGGGACCATGGTAAGGTGGGAAGCGCCTGCTCAGTCTAACAGCCTCAGCTCTCACTTCTCCGCTCTCAGTTCTGAACCAGGAAAATGAGGCCATGGTTGACGGGGCTTCTGATTGCTTATAGGGCTATCAACACAGTTTTTGGTGAAAGTTTCTGGTTTTTAAATCTTCTGTAATTTGTATTTTCTCCATTTAAAATCTCCCAAGATAAAGCAAATTTATTTGCCAAATGGGCCATTGGTTTGGGATCTCTGGAGTAAATGGCACTGTAGGTTTGGGTAAATTCTTGCAGAACCGAGATTTTTAGTACTAAAACTTGAAGGACCACAGGAAAAAAAATTCAAGGGGGAGAAAGCTGAGAACAGCTCTGAGCATCAGGGCTTGAGAATCAATTGCAGGAACAGTTGGGAAACTGTCCACTGTCCACAGGCCATAGTGGAAGCCAGGAGTCATCCATAGAGCTTCGCTCTCCCACACCTGACTGTCACCAAGATGCACCAGTTTATTCCTGTTTCTTGCATCCGCCTGCTTCTCTCCATCCCCACCACGGAAGGCAATGTCTGCTCCTTGGACTGCTGCAGCTTTCTCTCAGTTGTACCTTCTCTTCAACCCATGCACCCATTCTCCACACTTTGGCCACAGAAATCTTTTCTGAATGTATCATCTCACCCTTGCCCTCTCACACATACTTAAAATGTCTTTGTGGCCTTAAAAGTAAGGCAAAGTGGAGGTGTTTAATAATTTTTGGAGAATTCTCGAGTGGGGTAAAATGTATTCAAGCAGGAGGGAGAATTAGAAGAGCTGCAGACACTAGGTCAGTAGCTTTCCAGAAATGTAGAAAGGAGAAAAAGTGGTGAAGACCACACAGGATTTTGTGATGGGGAAGTGCTGGAGATGGGCAGGTTGAGAAATGGGGGGGCAGTGATAAACGAAAAGCAAGGGGACAAGAATAACCTTGAAGACACTTGTTAGAGTAAAGAAAATGCTAGGATGGTATCTCAAGAGAACAGTAAGATTGAACAGACTGTTTTTGTTTTTGTGGTACTGGGGATTGAAGAACCCAGGGCCTTTACACTGAGCACAACCGCAACCCATTTTCTATTACTTTGACTTTGAGACAGGGTCTTCCTGAGTGTCTAGACTGAGCTTGAACTTAGAACCCTCCTGCCTCCGCCTCCCAGAGTGCTGAGATTACAGGTGGGTGCCACCGAGCCTGACTCAAGACTGCTTTTCATTTTTAGAATGAGGAGCACAGTGAAGATGAGCTAAAAAGTATGTATCGCATGCTTCAAATGGGCGACACCAGCACTAAATCCCCGTCCTGGGACTATGAGCTCCTGCTCTTTCCACTCTGCGGTGGCCTTTAAGTTTAGCATTCTAACACGACAGCTAACTACTGAGCAACAAACCGGCAGAGGGGATTAGGCCACTTGTCTCTTTCAGGGGACGTAGTAGGGAGAATGAGGTAAGTGAATATAGTGTGAAAATTTATTTTGAGATGAAAACGTGATCATTTAAAGTCGTTTCCCCCAAGTGACCGGGATCTGCCCAATAAAATGTGAGGTAGTGGTATCTAGAGCAAGAAGGTGTGAGTGCGGGCCCTGAGCAATCGGAGTGAGAGTCACCAATACAAACAAACAGAACCAACACGGGACGTGAGTCAGGACGGGAAAATGAGAGAATATAAATAGGACAAGAAAAGCCAGAGAGAATTTCAAAATGAGGAATAAATCTCCAGACCAAAGAAATAGAGGTGAATATAAATAAGATGGGGACAGGGACAAGACAAGTTGTTATGGAGAAGTAAAAGAGAAATGGAGAAGGAAGAGAAGGCAGGTTGTAGAGGGTCTCTCAGCTGAAGAGTTTTAGTTTTACAGCCGTAATGGAGTAATCAGGATGACTTATTCTCCTTTATACAGTGAGAGGGATTTTTCCTTTTTATTGCAGAACTTGTCATGACGAACAGCTGCACACACATCTGTGCACACAGGAACACACATGCACGTGCGCACACACGTGCACACACACAGGAAGTCCAGGCAGGCAGCAATGTTTCTTCTCTATAATTAACTCCTACGCAGTTTTCTCTCCCTGTAACTAGCTTTCACATGTGAGACTTTTCAAATGGGAGAGAGATGCACAATTTAGGGGCTCGGGGTACTGCAGGCTGACAGTGTACTGGACCAGCTCCTCTAGCCTCTTGAAAGTACATATAACTGGCCAAAATTTCAATTTGCATTCTTTCTGGTTTTTTTGGCCTAGCTTCTACCAAAACCAAGAGGTACAAAGAGGCCTACAGCTTCCGGAGCCAAAGTTAACTTGTAAACATACAACGGCTGCAACCAACCTGTTACTTGCTGCTGTTGCTGTTGTTTTAATCGCCACATTCCTCTCCAGTTCCTCTGCCAATTCTCGTGGTCCTTCCTGTCTATTTCCTACATCTTTCACTTTCATAGTTTACATGCTCCTACCTATTTATTGTATCAATGAATCATCTAAAATGATGTGTTTTTCCTCAGGTAAATTGTCAAGATGCATGGCAATCTTCAAGAACACAAATCTCTTTGTTCATTTCTTTTAAAGATTATATATTTCTGCCTTCACAGATCCAAACTTGCTGGAACAACACCTTGTGATGTAGAGCAGGTAGATATTTGATAACATTTTCATAGTCTCATTCATTGTATTAAAAAAGTTATATTACATTACATTTTATACTAATTCCTATATAGTTTTAGATAATGATTAAGGATAAGTAACCAATTTAAAATAGATTAATGAGGGATGTACACAAACTAGGTGGGCTTGCAGCCTATTAAACACAATTCCAATATTAACACTTCCTAAAAAGTATCAAGGTTGTCACAGTCTTGGTACTGAGATCCTAATATGTCATAATATCACACATAGCTGGGATATAGGTTCATGGAGGCCTCTTATACTGTTACCTCTACTTTTGTGTATGTTTGAAAATTAAACAATTAAATAAGTTAAAGAAAAAACATCTCACCAAGAAACATTTCTTCTGAATATATTTTTAAAATATTACAAGTGTTTCTCGGTGAGATGTTTTTTCTTTAACTTCTTTAATTTTTTAATATTCAAACATGCACAAAAGTAGAGGTGACAGTATAAGAGGCCTCCATGAACCTACATCCCAGCTATGTGTGATATATATGACGTATTAGGAATGAAAATCGTATGATTTTTCCTGTCATACAGACTCATAGGTATTACATTCATCAACAAGGGCACTGAACAATTAGAAGGCATAGTTGTGATTAAGTTTAAACTAAATCTTCTTCTCCTTAATGACCCTGTAGTATATTGCTGATTGTTTATGTTTGCATTACTCCACTATGTCTTACATTAGAATTATATACAAAAGATACTCCATAATAATTTTTTGTTGTTGTTGAGACTTCTCTATGTCCTGGAGATTAGAGATATAGTAACCCCTGTCACTCAGACTCTCATAGCACATATAGGCTTAAGGAGAGAGGGTGGGAGAGGATATTTTACTCTTCACCTCCGTCAGAAACTGCCCGGTGGAGGAACAGACACTTTCTGTAAGATGCCAGAGGGTAGCAACTCCAAGGTGTGAGCCTGGTTCTGACTTGCACAGTGTTACAGAATAAGTTTCCTACATGCTGCACAGCCTGAGCATTGCTGAATAAGGAAAAACCATAGGTGAGTAACTGAAATAAAGTGACTATTAGGGCATGGCTGATTACAGTTTCCAGGTACATATTTTTGCCTTTTTCTACTCTTTTTTTGTATTATTTTAGCTTATTAGTACCTGTGTACATAATGTTTACATTCCTGTGGAAAGTTGGTACTTGTGCATAATGCACCTTGATTCCTTTTTTCTCTTCCTCCCACCTCCACCCATCCCTTTATCCCTTTGTGTACCTTTTTTTTGGTACCAGGAATCAAACTCAAGACCTCGCACTTTCCTTTTTTCTGTGCACGTTTGCAGTACATCACGCTTATATTCCTGGTTGGAGCTGATGCATGCACATAACACATCCCAGGGCTTTATTTTATCTCATATGCCTGCCCAACGTCTTGATTCCCTTCCCGCCGAGAATGATCTAACTCCAGAAATCAGTACAGAGATTCATCAAAAGACTAAAACTAGAAATTCCATTTGATCCAACTATTCCCCTTCTAGGTATCTTCCCCAAAGAGTTGCACACATCATATTGCAGTTATCATGAGTACTCATGTTTACAGCAGCACAATTCATAACAGCTAAATCTTGGAAGTGGCCTAAATGTACATCAGCAGATTAATGGATAAAGAAAATGTGGTCTTTACACACCATGGAGTGCTGCTGTCAAAATAAGGATAGACTAGAGTTATTTGTATGAAAGTGGATGCACCTTGAGACCTTAGTGCTAAGTAAAGTAAATCAGACACACAAGCTTAAATATTGTGTGATTTATCTTTTTTGAGAAACTCATAGTAAAATAAAGTCCAGGTACATTAGCTTTTAACATAATGCAATTTATACTCACCTTTTTTTACTACTCAATTGATTAACATCTCAGAAATTTATTAGAACTCCTAGCTACAGTTTTATATGCATTATTTCTTTAAATTTAAATGTACTAAATACAAACTCTTTAAATAAAAATCACAATCTTATCCATTAACATACACTTCAAATCAGCTAATCTTAATCATATCCTACTGATTAATATATTTCATCAACTCTCATTTTATCAAAACAAAGTCCTTGAAGCCAGCATTGGGCATATGAATTAGGAGCCAGATATCATAACCACAGTCCTCTGTGATCCTTGTGCTTTGAGTATCACATAGAGGAGCACCAAAATGTCCCCAAAAATATGCCATCAAGATAGAATATTTTGTCATCATAAAAATAAGGTATATTCCCTGTTTTATATAGGTTTTTATTTTTTGTACTTTCTTTTCTTTTTGTAGTACTAGGGACTGAAGCCAGGCTCTGAGCTACGTCTTTAACTCTTTTTTCTTATTCTGAGACAGTGTCTTGTTAATTTGTTCAGCTGAGACAAGCTTGCGATTCTCCTGCTCCAGCTCCCCAAGAACTATATAGCAGGTATGCAGACCACACCTGACTTGGCTAGCAGTTTTATACCAAGGGTCTTTGCACTGAGCTACATCTCTAGCCTTGTTCTGTCTTGCTAAATTGCCAAGTTGCCTAGGCTGTTCTCAAATTTGTGACTCTCCTGTCTCCGCCTCTCACAGTCCTGAGATTAAGAGAATTCACAGCCACTCCTGCCTTGGCTAGCATTTTCATCCACTCTCAAACTAGGAGGAGGCCAAGTCGACTCTTAAATTTAAGATTCCTGAAAAGCAAGACATCAGTTCCACTGTGCACAGTGAAGCCTAAGGCCTCCAAAGAAAAACAATGCACCATGCCACCTGGCTCTTCTCCAGATGCACTACCTTTGAAAGATCCAGCAGCATCACCACCAAGACAGCATTTATACCTCTTTCCCCTTCTAGCTCCAGCTCCAAATAGTTATGGAAAAGTCCCTACTTCCCTTAACCCCAGTTCGTCTAGAAAAATCCTGCATTATATTGCCTTAGTAATGAACCTCTTCCACATAGCTTCAGTCGCTGTCAGGTTTCTAGAGGGAAAATTGCTGTGTGATGATCACGTTGGTTGGATGAAGATTGAACTGAGACCACAGAACCCATCTCGACTCCTAGCACGAACTTCATGTGACTCTGCTGACTCCAGTGAAACCCAGCTAGACTGCTGCTGCTCTGTGACAGTGGGGAGCCACTGCTTTCAGGCAAAGTCCTGGATGGCATGATGACCCTCATCACCAGTAAGTCCTACAGAACAATCACAGGTCCAAATGCAACCTATGTGTTTGGTAGGCTTTCATAAAAATGCATATAGGCATGACTTAACCCTTAATCTTTGTCTTTGTGTTAAGTAATTAATCATACTGATCTACTATCCAGGGTCCTCTGCAGGGCTGTATAAATATAATAGGCCTTAAAAATTGTCCCCCATTCCTGTCTAGCATGAACAAGGTTGTGGAATTAAAAGTCAAGTTAGAACTGGGACAAATAAATTGAGGAAGTCATTTCACTCATACTCAATTCTAACTGAAGACATCTTAGGAAGAAAAAACTGACTTTTCCTACCAATTTTCCCTATTTCTATAGACAAAGATGATAGTAAACAACTATCTTTCTACAAATACCTTTCCTGTCCCAATCCTGGCTGGTGTTGGTAGTGTACAAGTTGTTGTTTATCATCTATATTATCTTTATAGTTCTTCAGAGGGAGTTGGGAATCTTCATTAAGCTTTTATCTGGAAAATGTTTCTCTCTCACTCTCTGTGTCTCTGTCTCTCTCTGTCTATGTCTTTCTATCTGCAGTAATGAAAGGAGTTTCCCTTAGTCTTAGCTGCTATGTAAAGTTGACCTTCATTCATCGACCCTTGTCAGGAACATTCCCTCAGTTCCATGGAGCATCTCCTGAGGATCCACCAGGGGCTGGGTACTTCACTAGATGCTAAGGATAAAAGAGGAGCAAGAGGACACAGCCCCTGTCCTCAGAAATTCAGATCTAGCAGACCAGATAACAAATCTTCCTTCTCTAAAATCCCTTAAAATCACTCACAGCTAGTGCCTTCTCCCACAAGGGGACCAAAAATACAGTTTTGTTTATCATTTCTTGAAACAAGTTGAAGTATATATAAAGAATAAATTAAACACACACTGTTATATATAAGCATTCTCATAGTATCACCTTTTGAAACTTTTAAAACATCTGAAGAATAAACATATTTCTTGCCTTTGGTATGATGTTCATGAAGCTGAAGAAGTGATTTTAAGTCCTCAGCACTCTCAAACTCATGAGGATCCTGGAGGAAATCTTCAGCTTGATCTATTTTAATAGCGAACTACAACATAAACACAGGGAAAGTATTTGAAACCAGTAACAACCAATGTGCCACTTTTAGTTATTTATAATTGTTTTTCATGAACTAATGGCCTATCTGACTCTGTATGTTTGTATGTACATGTTTGTGTGTGGTCTGTGTGTATGATGGTGAGTTGTGTACGTGCTTGCATGTGTACATGCATGTGTGTGTGTGTGTGTGCTGGTTTAGAGTATTTGAAAATGTCTGTTTGGATATGCTTAATTAACAATATGTCATGGTTCTTTAGATTTCCTTCATTCCTAGAAATATACCATGTATGCTGAAATAAATTGGCTTGTTTACTCTTCAAATGTCTGTTAAGTTTTTCAACCAAAATGACTGTATTCTGTTTAATGAATCCTTGTGCTTTCAACACTCTCAAGGCAGTTTCTCAAAGAATAAGCAGAAAGTTTGCTAAGAAACCAACAAAAGGATGGATTCAAGTAAAATTACAAGTAAATTTAACTTAATTCACTTAGAAAGATTAAATATAGTTATTTTCCTTGATGATTAAACTTAGAAGTAAAACTTATAGTTTCAGGCTAATATATAGTTTAACCCATTATTAACACAAAGCAAAAATACATGTATTTTATATAGAAAAGGATCTAAAAAAATACACCCCAAATGGTTGCCTTTACAAGGAGGAAGGGAATTAGGGACAGGTGAAGACAGGTAAACGTTTAGCTTTGGAGATGTAACTGTAATTTTATTTGCATATTTATTATTTATACAAAAACAAATGAGATTAGCTAGAGCAAGAATGAAAAGTGGAAAATATTTTCTTCCATTTCAAAGAAGAATACACAGTAACTTAACACCCTGAATGTGAGCAACTTGATTGCATGCTTTTTTATTTTTCTCCATGAAGTATTTATTCATGAGAGGAAAATGGATGCTTGAAGTGAAGTTAAAAATCTTAGGGACATAATTTCAGAAACAAATATTAGAAGAAGGCAAAACATACTTGGATATGCTATGACAGTTATCACCACAATGGTAGACAAACAGCCAGTTTGTTTTAGCACTTAAAATTCAAATTATTATAAAGATCATGCTAACTAATACATTCACCTTTAAGTTAGGTTTAGGAAAAAAAAATAAGAAAGGCAAAGTATCAGGGGCTGGGGATTTAGCTCAGCCGCAAAAAGCGCCTGCCTGGCAAGCGCAAGGTCATGAGTTCGGTTCCCGGTACCGGAGAAAAACCAAAAAAGAACAAAAAAAAAAAAAAAAAAAAAAAAAAAAGAAAGGCAAAGTATCGAAACATAAAGAAGCCCACGGCTGTGCTTGTCTTCCTCTCCAAATTTCTCTAAACTCTTATTTTTTAATTTGGTGCTTGTTAGCATTTTATATAATTATCTGATTAATAAGAGCTACTGTATTTTGATTACTTCAACAGCTGCATAAAATCCAGTGATAAATGGCAGGAAGGTGAAAGAGACTGATGCACATGACCCCTTTAGAAATGCAGAGAAACCTCTGTGGTTCTGCTAGGGTGACCGAGGGACACTTGATACTGTCACGTGCGTGCAGGATTCCTAAACTGTAGCTCAGGGTTCCAGAAGAAAATATCCCCCTGATGGTTCAATCTGTGTACCCAAAATTTGCTTCTATTAATCCTCAACTGTACAATAACTTTTTTTATATTTCTAAAGAACTCTCATATATATACATTTCCATAGGGATCATACTCACACCACATTTACATCTGCTATTCATCCATTCATTGAATTTCTAATAAGTGGTATTATAGATAGTCTTCAGAGACACACACACACAACACAACTAAATAAAATAAAACAACCCCAAATACTCCCCCACAGATGATTTGTTTTTCCTGGTACATCACAAGAAGTTTTAGAGTCACTGTATAATATATCTATATCTCAGATTCTTAGTCAAAGCTTTTTTTAAAAAATAAATCAATAGGCAAAAAAGTTGAAAAAGTTGGGCTGATACTTTGTTAACTTTTGTCTTATGGGTATTGCCTTTTCCCCACCTAAAAAATGCCCCTTTTTTCTTTCATGGCTTGTCCAGAGCAAGTGGCAACAGGGAAACATTTTTAAAGAGTTTATTATTAATTCCACCCTCTTCTTTTTTGTCACTAATGAAAATTGCTGTAGCATACAAAAAGGGCCTGAAGATTATGTAGCAGTTTGCTTTCTGCTTGGTCCAGTGGTCCACAGAAGTGGAAACAGGATAATAGAGAAGCATTTAGTCATTTCACTAGATCAAACAAAAGTTCGCCCCAGCGTGAGGATTAGGAGCACAAGGCTGCAACGGCTGGACTGAGTATTTCTTTTTACTCCATGGCAATCTTTGTAAATAGCTGAGCCTGGTGTTAGGAAAAAGATAGTTTCCTGTGCTCAGAAGAGCCGAGTTTAAAAGACAGTCGATACCTTTGTTTCACTTACTAAGATGCCATGGCTTGGTTCTATCTATGATTTGGTTGCTGTAGGTACGTTTCGGGTGTTTTATTTCTTTTTAAGACAGAAGCTTGTGCAGGGACCTTTTCCCAAGGTGGTCTGTAAAACGAACTGTGAACTGGACTTCAGGGCTCAAGTTGTGAATACCAAAACCCTAAAGTTACAGTAAGGTTTTTGTTTTTCCTTTTTGCTCTTAAACGAGTTCATGATGCATGAGATTGTCTACCTCAATTTTTATGTTCTAGTATTAATCTTCTTTCCTTCATTGTTTTGGATTTAAATCCTGAATTTCACATTTTAAAATGTCATATTTTTCCAAGCTAGTGCTTTATCATAATGAAGCAGTGCTCTCCTGTCAGAATAAATGTGCTGCCGCTTGACAGAGAAGGTAAAAGGGAAATTTCCAATAACTGACTTATACAAAATATAACACCTCTTTTGATAATGTTCTTTGAGTCTCCCATTTTGACTTCTGAAGCTTCAAAAAAATTGCAGAACCCAAGATAACTTATCACCAAAATTACGTTCTTATGTCCAGGAATTTTTCCTTCCCTTATATTTTAATGAATTCAAACTATAGAAAAGTAACTAGATATAATTTAAGAAAATAGTGTCTATAATGCTACATTTACAGGTCAAACATTATTCTGCTGTTGCTGTTTTATTAGCAGCAGAAGAAATATTATCCTCCAACTTTTAGCCAGTAAAAACAGTCAGACCAGAATTTCCTTATGACCCTATAACGAAAGTAACTGATTAGTAATTGGATTTCTATTCTAAGGAGCAAAATCAATCAAAATGATTTGTAAGAGGTCCCAGTTTTACTTAAATTTTACTTAATTTTAACCAACTACTCTTAGTTTTTGTTTGAAGACTTACATATAAAACTTTAACAGGTTTTTTTGACAGTTATTCTACCACTTTTAAAAACTTGACTACAATATTTATTTACAAGAATGAAATATTTTCTGGAATACTCTTCATTTGCTTTGAGAAAAACAAAATTTTTTACAATACAAACCTCCAAGGCATTTTCAAAGAATTCCAAGGTTAACCGGAGGAGCTCCCTTCTTCTTTCAAGCATGGAGACCAGTGCTGTCCACGCTTCGCCCAGGGTCTGGGCCATGGCATCGTAGACCTGGCTCTGGTCCTTGTTCTCTTCAGCGGTCCTGTCCGCTTCCTGCAAGAGCTCCCACACCCGGTCTTCCAAAGCCTGAGTCGAAGAGAAAAAAGGCATAAGGCAGAATGCCACCCATTGTGAGTCTACGGGATCACATTTTAAACACTTGGATGCTTGGATATACGTAGTCTAGGAAGGTCTAGGAGAGAATCTCTAAACACAAGCATTTGTGTAGCAGGAGAGAGCCAGTGGGATTGTGGGGAAACAGGGAGCACGACCAACATAAAGGCATTCACATCTAAATTAGTCAAGCATGTAAAGGTTTAGCAAAGATCCACATCTACCTTTCCTGAGGTAGAGAACATTGTGGTGATCTCACACTCCCCGCAAATAGGAAAACTGACTGACACATATCTGGAAGGGTGATCAGGGGAAAAAATGAGCCACATAAAGCTTGCTGTTTATTCTGTATCACTGTCACTACTTGTTAATATGCTCCTGAAGTTCCATATAAATATTAAGAATAAATTCTTGAGATAATATTGATATCATAAAAATTATAGTACCTGCAATGACATTCCAGACTATTTGAATAAACTGTGGAAGATGAAGGTGATTTCATGCTTACATAACTGTGACATTCAAGAGTAGGAAGAACGCCCCATAGATTCTAGTGAACCATTTACAGTAGCCGCAAAATAAAGGCACAAGCTTTAAAATGTAACAGACTAAAATGACTATGAATAAATTTAAAATATCAGCAGAAAAACTGACAAAAATGTGATGAATCAAAATAAACAAAGAAAATGCAAGAAATAAGAGCACCAAGACACATATCAAAAATGCAGCTATTGGACTGTTTTAAATAACAGTAAACAGACCCAAAAAAGGCAGTGACTTTTTCAACTAAAAAGGTTACCAGAGGTAGTTTTTAAAAAGCAACCAAATGTATATTTTGTTTTAGTCATGCCTGAACTAAGAAAAAATAAGTTTTGATAATAAAGATAAGATAGACCAGGCAGAGACAAACAAAAAGGAAGAAGGATTAGTGATATTGATGTCAGCTAAATTGGAAATAAAAAATCATTAAACATTTTAATGCTATTTTATAATGATGACTAGTACAATCCACAGTAAAGATAAAGGAATCACTAACTTTTATACTTATAACACTGAAATATTTCAAGCAGATAAAACCAGTTAGACTACAAGGTAATAAAAGCAGAAATAAATGGAACAGTCCCAGATAACATGAATCACTTATGATATTTAAATTTTTTTTAAATAATACTTCTTAGAGCAAATGGAAATAAACACTATAATTACAAACTTGGGGGAAATGAAGCTACCACTTTTAAAATTCTAAGGAATACAACTAATTTTATGCTCAGATAAGACATATATCTTTAGACAAATTTGTATTTAAAGAAAAAAATACTCAAGTCTAATTTATAGAAAAATATATTTTTTTAAAAATGTTGATTGGGAAAGACAACCACAAAGAGAGATTAAAATAAATGGAATAAATACCTAATTTTTCAATGTTCACATGACACTGCACATCAAGCACGTAAAGAACTTCCAAGAGGAAATCATGACCTAACCTTATGGTCAAAATAAGGTGCTCAAAATTAACCAGGTAATAACTAGTACAGGGAGAAACTCTGCCCGGTGCTGGCTGGCTCCACTCTGGCTCACTTCCACGGGCACTTCAGATGAGGGAGTGACAGGGACAAAAGCCCCAGCCATCACCTGCTCCTGGCCATGAACAGCAAAAGGAAGCCTTCGGTGATATCTTGCCAAACTCCAGCTATGACCCATGTCTGCTCACTCCCAGGCAAGCACTACAGCAAAAAGTGTGGGGAGGGAGAGCCTCTGATGTTACCTTCCTCCATGGTGTGGATAACTGGAAGGCCTGAGGTTCTGCTGCTGGGCAAGCGTGAGAGGAATACCACAACTTCTGATGCTCCCTACCTATGCAGTTCCCACCACCAGCCGTCGCTGCCTGATCAAACACTGCTGTCAGGGTCAGGGTCGGGTGTTAGCACCACAGAAGGAGTACTGTGGCTCCTCGGTGAAATTAAGAAGACAATGCCGGAGACAAATGAGAAATTCAAAAGAGACTTTGGAAAAGAACCAGACAGGAATCTTACAAATTAAGAGCTCAAAAGGTCAAATTTAAAAATCCAGTAAAAAGCCTCAGCAACAGACTAGATCCAGAAGAGCTTGAAGACAGATCTTCGAAATATCATATTGATGTTGGGGAGGATAAGAAAGAATAAAGAGACCACTGCAGCTCTTTGGACCATTAATCAAATACCTGTATCTCTGTAATATTTGAAGGCCAAGAGATAAAGATTGTGGCCAAGAGATAAGGATAAAGATAGAAAACTCATTCAATGAAATAATAGTAGAAAAGTTTCTTGACATCATATACATGATGTCCAGGAGGATTATACAATCCCAAATAGGCATGACCAGACAAAAATATCACCATAACATATTATAGTCAAACTGTCAAAGGAAAAATAAAAAAACTTAAAATCTGCCCGAATAAAGTACCAAGTCACATTTAAGGGTAATCCCATCAGACTAATAGCAGATTAGTCAGCAGAAACCCACACACCAGAAGGGAATGGAATGGCATATAACAGGTTTTGAGAGAAGATCACATCACATCCAAATAATATTACTATATCTAGCAAAGCTATTCTGTATAAATAATAGAGAAATAAAGACCTTCCAAAATAAGCAAAAACTTAGGAAATTCATGGCCACCAGACCAGCCTTACAAAAGATACTAAAGGAAGTCCCATATCCAGAGGTAAGAGAAAAGTAACTACCATTATGAAAGCATGTGAAAATATAAATTCCACTAGAAGAATAAATACACTAAAGAGAAATGGAAAAAGGTCAAATATTACCAATATAGCAATCCATCAAAGCACAAAGATAAGTAAAAGAAGAAAAGAAGAAAAAATATCCAAAACAACTAGAAAAAAAAAACAACAAAATGCCAAGCATAAGTCTGTAACCTTCAATAATAATATTGAATATAAATAGACTCCCTTACTCCAATAAAAAATACACATTACCTGAAAGGATTTTTAAAAATAGGTAACAATATTTACCTACAAGAAACTGCTTGTAGCAAATGCACACAGAGACTGAAAGAAATAGGATGAAAAATCCAGCCAAATAGAATTCTAAAGTGAGCAGGAATTGCTATAATTCCAGCTAGCAAAATAGACTTTAAGACAAAAACCGTCAGAGACAAAAATGATCACTCTATAAGGATCAACGAATCTATTCATCAATAAGACACAATGATTATAAATATATATGCACCAAATATTGGAATACCAAGCTCTATAAAATAGACTATTAGACCGAAAAGAAGAGATAGACACCAATAAAATAAAAGTGAGGGATTCTAATAGCCCACTCTTATCAATGGGTAAATAATCCAGATTTTAAAAATCAATAAAGAAACAAGAAGTTTGAATTATACTATAGATCAAATGGACTTAGTTATAGAACATTCCATCCAATAGCTGTAGAATACATATTTTTTTTTCATCAACACAAGGAACTTTCTCTAGAGTAGACCATATGTTAGGCCACAAAACAAGTCTTAAATTCAAAAATTTCAAATCATATCCTGTATCTTTTATGTACAATGGAATGAAACTAGAAAGTCAATAACAAATACCTTTAAAAGTATCCCAGTACATGGAGATTGAACAACAAACGCACTTTTGGGTGAACAACTGCTTATTGAAACCATCAAAAGATAAATCTAAAAATATCTTGAAATAAATAAATAAAAATGCAACATATTAAAACCCTCGGGATTCAGTGAGTGCCTGCATCACAAAAGTAGAACAATTTCAAACAACCTAATGATGTCTCTCAAAAACTTAGAAAAACAACAACAAACCAAACTCAAAATTAGTAGAAAGAAATAAAAAAAGTTATGCCCAAAATAGAACCTAAAAAACAGTATAAAAGAGCAACAAAACAAACAGTTGGTTCTTTGAAAAGATAAACAAAATTGACACATCTTTAACTAGACTAAACAAGAAAAAAAAAAAAAAAGGAAGACCCAAATAAATAAAACTAGATTTAGAAAATGAGGCATTACAACTGAATCCATAAGAAAATCTTGAAGAAAAGGAGAAATTTCTGAACACATATGACCTACCAAAGTTGAACCAGGAAATTATTAAAAAAAAAAAATGCATAGGTCAGTAACAAGAAATAATACTGAATATCTCCCAACAAATTAAAAGTCTCCTCACAGAAACCCAGAGCCAGATGGCTTCACTGCTGAATTTTACCGAACTTTTAAAGAAAAATTAACATCAATATTCCTCAAAATATACATAGGATTTAAAGGGAAGAAATCTATCCAAACTCATTCTATGAGGCCATCATAACCCGGTTACCAAAATCTGTCAAGGATATGACAATAACAACAAAATATATCTTTGATGAAGAAAAGACTACAACTTCTCAACAAAGACAAGCAAATCACATTCAACAGTATATCAAACAAATCATACACCATGATCAACTTGGTTTCATTCCAGGGATGCAAGGACATTTCTATATACACTAATTAATAAGCATCACTCATCGTACAAACGTAATGAAGGATAAAATCTTATCATCTCAACAGATGCAGAAAAAACACATGATAAAATCCAACATTCTGTCATAATAAAAGCCATAAACAAATTAAGTATAGAAAGATCATATCTCTAAACCAGGCACGGTGGTGCATGCCTGTAATCCCACTTGGGAGGCAGAGGCAGGAGGATTGCTGTAAATTTGAGGCCAGCCTGGGCTACATAGTGAGTTCAAGGACAGCAGGAACTACATAGCAAGACCCTGTCCAAAAAAAAAGAATTACATCTTATTGGCTATGTGTGAAAAACCCAGTGCCAGTATCATAATGAATGGAAAAACTGAAAGTATCCACAAGTTATTTGAGAGCATAATGTCTGGACATTTCCTTCTTGTGTGACAAGTTTTACATTATCTTAAGGGCTGGTCAGTTTTGTATTATGCATGTATTTCATTTTCTACTT